TAACTGAATTCCGAGATACTTCTAAATTCTCGGAAACAAACCTTTGAAAGGTCACCAGGAGATGACCCTGATTGGGGTTTCTTCAGATCCTTATATAGCGATCTAAGTGAGCGGATCAAAGGATCTGATTTTAATCATATTGTCATTAGTGCAACTTCTATAAAAACCTATAATTAAAAAAATGAATATTAATGACTCTTGTTAATCTAAATGACTTACTATATTGTTTACAATCTTGGATTCTGCAGGAAGTTCAAGATTTAATCCTGGTTTCAGCTTTCCAGCAGCAAATGCCTCTTGCAACTAAAAGCAAAACCAAAGAATTCTACATTAAAATTTTGCATAGAAATGTGCCATGTGTAATTATTTTCATTGGTGTACTTTAAAAGAAATTAACGTCAACATAGAGTTGCATCAGTTTTCATGATACAGGGTTGATTTACTATACAATTTTACTGAAAGATTGACGAAATAAAGAAACTCTTATGGTCAAAATGAAATAGTCAAAATTAAAAGTGCTGATAAGTTTTCAAGAAATATTTTCGCACCACATATATTGGTGGCAGATAATAACCACAATTACAAACCTCTTCATCTGAATCAGAACTTTCCATTCCCGAAAATGATTCTTCTGAATCCATGGCTATGATACCAGTTCTAGACGTTTACTCAATATTACTTAGCTAATCCACCTAAAAATTAAAAAGAGGAATTTCAATGCAAATCTTTGATTTCTAGGAAGTTAATTCCATAGAATGAAAAGAATAAGCATTCTTTTTAAGGAATTTCACACAATAAACTAAATACTGATGCCCAAAAATACCCAAACACTGACAACGTCTGTGACCCAGGAGAGCAAATCAGGGAAGATAACTATCAGAAGTATTTCGAGCGCGATTGAAATTAAGCAAAATATAGATGACTGAATTTAACGTTTGAATAATTTTCAAGTTAGAAAAATTAAGAAATGCACTTTAAATTGTAAAAATTTTCTTATATTTATAGGTATTTTGAGCTGTCAGCACTTTATTTTCTTCAAATAATGAAATACCAACTGTGTCTCCGATCCCGATGAAGACAAAATTTTACAAAAGTCTATGCACTTTTGTGCTACATGTTGGGGACTTCGTTTAGGCATGAAAAAATCTTAAATAATGTTTAAAATATTTATAAAGTTGAAAATTTGTGCTAACACTAAAAACGTAAAGACAATCTGGAAAAATAGTGTACCGCTACACTTCCTATTCAACATACATTTTTATCAAAATATTCTTATCAAAATAATTTTTTTCTATCTAAAACATAAGATTATATCGGAAAACAAAATAGCTACTTACGTAATCTTTAATTCTCAACTGTCCTTAAAGATAGATCAGAATATTCAATTTAGTATCATTGTTTACTTCACATAACAAATTCGAACGTTGATGGCCGCCAGGTCACAAACACGAGTTATCTAACTTTGCAAAAAATGGCGTTAACTGGAATAGCTATATTACTGTAAGAAAATTCACGTGTTGGTGTAAACACAAGCGCACAAGTGATGCCGATCAAATACTAAATGATAAAGCCATTCGCCAACAGATTTCAACATTCCGAAATATAATTTGTAGTTTTGGGACACTTTATATTTTTATCAAGCTGAGAAGATATACTGATTTTGCTCGTTTAATATGAAATGGGGATAACTGACAAATAATGGAACACTCGGGAAATCTTTCATAGATTTACATAGACCTCTATCTATCTGTAGTTGCATATTACGTCTCACTCACCGTCTTTCTAGATATCTGTCACAAAAGTGTGTCAAGGCAATGACTTTTGTAACTTTAAAATATTTGATTAAGTAGGTGAAGATAACAAACAATGATCTATCTAAAAAAAAAAAACTTAAATATATTTTTTGCCCATTTCCTAGATTATATGTTTTTAAATCCTGATTTTGCATTGCATCATCAACTTTGGAATCCTTGATTGAAATGAACACTTTGGAATGCTTGATTGAAATGAAATTGACTGTGAGCATTGCTGGTGAACAAAAGAATATGTCATTATACTTATCTCAAAGACCAAGATCAATATGTAATGGGGTAACTAGTACTGTTGCGACACAAGTTGACTCAGGTTCGTGTACCTTAAATATCAAGCTTCCTAGGCAATGGTATGGTAAAGTCAGACATGGGTCATTAATTTAGGACATTTATTTGAATATATTCGGACTCGATTATTTACTATGTTGTTGCAGATGACCTAAAAGTTTGGCATGTACTTGATTCAAGGTCTAGCCTGGTTCCCTGGTTCATCCAACACGAAGCATAACAGGGATAAGGAGCCAGGGTAATTCAAGGTCATTTCGTAAAAGTCAAGGTCACAGAGAAATTTGTTTGGTCCTTAACTTTTGAACCCTTTGAAGAAAGAGTTCAAACTAAAATATATTGTTTCTGTTGACCAAACGATGTGTCATGAACTCGGCACAAGATGTAGCTCAAAGATAAATGTCACGCAATGAAGGATTTTTAATTAGTAGTACATTGATCTGCGTACGCATAATCAATTTAATTAGACCATAAAGTCCTGAAGATAAGCTACAGCATATTCCAAACTTTGGCAAAAAATGTTATTTTTCTAAGAAAGGTGTTTTCAATCTGAAAAACTAGATGCTGTCATGAGACATAAATACCAGCATGCGAGTGTTTGCCTCTAAAAAATTTTGTAATTAGTGAAGAAGTAGCAATAATTTTTCTACAATTTTCATAAATATACATGTATGAAATCGAGCATGAAATGCTCAGGTGAACATTTGGCTCACATAGGTACGTAGTTTCAGGATGGTTTATTTTGTAGATATTGTGTGTTTTTCTGTGTTTGTCTTAATACATGTACAGTGAGTAAAATAAAAAAAAAATTTCAAAAAACGCTGAAATTAGCAGTTTTTAAAAATGTCCTACATGTATTTCTATGTACATAAAAAATGACATGTTTTATGTACATATAAAAACGATATTTTTAAAAACTGCTAATTTCATTCATTTTCGACTTTTTATTTTAATAAGTGAATTTAGCACACATAGCAAAACCCACTGTAATGTATAAAATACATCATCCTAAAACTGAGCACCTTTGGTGGCCCATAGGCCTTTTATATTAGTATTTTCTACAATCAATTCATTACCAGTTCGAAATTAAAGAATTCAGTTAAGCATAAATTCTGTTTAAAAAAGAGTTTTGGAGAGAAAGTTTTGTGTTAAAACCATTTCGGCCCTCAAATAGCCTCTTGAATGGAAAGGAAAATTCTGAATTTGAAACCTTATCGCATATCTACAGGATACCACCAGTCGACTTGGCTACTGTGCAAACTGTTAGAGGCGTTCTGGGAACGTTTTTTTTTTTTTTTTAAATTTTAACCCCCCCCCCCTCCAGTTAGCCTCTCCTATGAAAATGAAAATTTTCAATCCTTACTGCACACCTAAAGGACATCACCAATCATGTTCAGAAAGATGAATTGGCTGCTACATAAAATTTAAGAGGAATTCTGGGAAGTAGGTTTTCGTAGAAAACGTCGTTTTTCGACCCCCCGGTTGACTCCAGAATGAAAATGAACATTTTAAAACTACTTCACATCTACGGGACACCACAAACCATTTTCAAAAAAAAAAAAATTAATTAGCTAATACGTCAAATGTAAAACCAGGAGCTAGGTTTTCATGAAAAAAATCTCCCCCTCCCCCAACTGACGTCCATGCAAGGTAAAAATGAAAATATTAAAATCCTTTTTTTGCACATCTGCAAGACACCGCCTATCATATTCTTAATTATTAAAATGTAAGAGGAGCTTGGGGAAGAACGGACCGACCAGGATAACAACAATACATGTACATGTATAAGAGAGTACAGGTATAAAAATCGGTTATATTCTTAGCTCACCTGAGCCATAGACTCAGGTCAGTTCAAAGTTTGAACAGCTTCTGTACGCCTGTCATAAATTTTGATCACCAGTTAAATTATGTTGAATTTGTACAGGACACCTTGGGTGATGGGGTATTCAGATTTGTTCAAATGAAGGGTCATGTCCCTTTTCAAGGGGGTAAAATAGTGAAAAATAGGTTGAGGTCTCAATATATATGATTTATGTTAACTTAACTTTGTATAAATCCTCCTCGGGGCATTACTTAATTTCTTAGATTACAATCGATAAAATTAAAGTCTTTAAGTTGATGGTTACAGAAAAGGGCTTTATTTATCTATAAAACTCTTATTTTGTCATTGTTTTATGACCCATGGGCCTTTTGTGTTGTAGCTTCAATTCCCTTGAACACGCACCAAAAGATGCACCTCTTTAGGGGACGAATCATTCTCACTACAATGTCCTTGCAAAAATTGGAACATCTTAATAAGACTTGATTAGATATCTTTGGAATTGGGATGTATATTGGTATACCACACGAAAAGCAGACCAAAGGTCAAATGATAGACCGCATTCTTTTCAACCTAGCAAAATTCCAAACTGCATCAATTTTTAATTTGCTCTTTAGACAACGAATTACTCTTAATGATGACATGTAGGGAAGATGAAAATGGAACGGGAAATGATAACATGGGTGGAAAAAAAATAACGAGAATGCCTCCAGAATCAAAACCGTTAAATTGTTTATTCACTGATCACATGCAACGGAAAAACTAAATTAAATGAAATTAATATCAGTTAATTCTTTACTTTTCGGAAATGGAAAACCTTTGTCAATAATAAGCATGAGTTAATTGCTGGGAAAAAGTCCTCAGGGATTCATCAAGCCCCAATATTCATTACGAGCACTGATAATTGATTTTAACAGACTGTTTGTCAGTTTGCTGTGTAAATGGGCATTATCAAACCCCATATGCTCGACAACAGAACCCCAAGCCGCTATTTATCAACACAAGGTCGGAAGAGGTGACGGCCATGTTCCGCTAGAAAGCGACGGGTAATCATTGCTAAACAGTAGGTAACAGATAAGTAAAAGTGAGGTAATACTGCTTATTATTGTCAGAAACAATTATGGATGTCATTCATACTTTTGAGACTGCAAGGAGTTACACTTGGATTTTTTGTGTATATTGTAAACGGTTTGTAATCTTTTTTATTTTACCTCTAGGAGAGAGAGACTTTTTATTGGTTTGCTTTTTTTAAACAAGAAATTATGCTTGCATGATCAGAACAAAAATAGGATTTAATGGGTTCCAAACCCCGTTGTATCATATTAATTTGGAACTGATCGACAATGTTTAATAACTGATGATGCATCGTGTTGTGTTCTTAGTGCAGTTTTGATCACTAATCTATCAAGATGCATCATGTTCAATGTTCGATATACATTGCTTTTAATTGTTTTTCACTTCCTTGATTCTATATTTGAAGTGAAGTACATAGACACATTTGATGGGAATGGAGAGCAGCACTGTGCCTCTCCGCCATACAGAATTACAAGGGAACGTGAAGTTGCCGAGGCGATATGCGACGCCCGGAAGTTGTGACGACTCGGCTGATCGCTTGGAGGATTTAGCCCAGGCGATGAGTTGGGTTCGACAAGAGCTAGTAAGTATAAAACGATTTCTGAGATGGGCATGTCACTCAATCACCTACTATTACAACCCTTCTATGTTGCATATAGTGTAAACGGACATGATACTGCATTCCGTTGTCTATATTGGCTGAAGCTGGACCCCGCAACAGATCTATACAGATGATTTATCAAATGGGGATTCTCATTGTCAAGATTTCAAGCACAAACCGAGAATAGGTTACAAAAGATACATGTATTTATTCTATATTTATTGGGTATAATTTAACAATAAAACTACAATATTCTTGTTAAAGACAGAATTACTATCATAAACGACTTTGTTTTCCTTTAAAATGTGATTACAGTCTTAGAATTTTCTTCCCGTGTCCTCAAGTGCATTCCAACGAGTGCATGTTTTTTTTATGTTTGCATTTCAGTGACATATATTCTTTCCTGGAGCAAAACAGCTTAAGCAAGACTTAACTTAGTGGTCTTGGAATACGTTACCAGAAAGTTCATAAAGCACATATAATGATTATATGATGTTTATTTTTTTATGGAGCGCCAAATCAGCATAAACTCAAATAATTGAACATGTCTTTAATTTTTTGAAGATAGGATCAATTTATTTGATGAGCGAAAAATTCAGTTAGTTTAAACCATAATTTATTTGAAATTTACAAGCATACAGTACAGATATTTAGTGAAGATCGAACAGGATTCGAAAACAAGTTAGAAAACTTATGTTAATCCCACAGGTACTTGTGGACAGGACCCCCCCTCCCCCCCGTTCCACACAAAAACACCCCACTATAATGTATAGTGGGGTATTTTTGAGTCGAACGATTATTTTGGGGTTTTCACGATTTTTTCCTATGGTACACATGATGAATAAGTGTAATGAAAAAAATGTCCAACAAACCTCGGGGTTGAAGGGGGGGGGGGTCCTGTCCACAAGTACTTGTGGTTAATCCGTCTCCTTATAATTTGTTTAAGTAACAGATCCTTATTGGGTAGTACAGAATAGTGCGCTGGAGATTAAAAAAAATACGTAGAATTTGAAATTTTAAAAAATTCAGTTCAAGAACTCTTAATTACTAATGGTACCTTCAATTCCTAATTACTAATACATGCATTATACACTTTAATTCATCATTGATGATATCAATAACAAATTTGCTAAACTGATGCGCACAATAATTGAATTGTTGCTCTCTTGAAATGAATTATTGATACCAACGAATGAATTGATGCGCGTAGTAATTAAACTGAAGAGAGCAATAATTTAATCAATGTGCGCAATAACTGAATAAAGTGTATATACGAAGGGTTATCAAAAAGTTCGTGGACTAGCGCCATGAAATTAAAACCGCTTTAGGTACATCAATGAATTTTTACACATTTAGTTAGCATCATCTCTTCTATCTATAGAATAAACCATAAATCATAAGTTTCAGTTTTTAATAAACTGTAAATGCTTTAGGCCCGTAGGAAGCAATTTCAGTTGGGGGGGGGGGGGGGCACAGCTATACATTTTCAGTTGAGGGGGCACTATCAACTACCAAAAATTCCTTGACAAGCAAAAAAAAAAAAAAAAAAAGTCATCAGACGTTTTTATTGAGGGGGCACCAGCATATAATAGCTATGTTTTCTATAGAAAACTGTATATCAAAAAATTAATTTCTATAGTAAACTATATATCGGCAAAATTATTGGGGGGGGCACGGCCCCCCGTGCCCCCCCCCCCCCCGGTTCCTACGGCCATGTGCTTTTATAAGCAATGGTATGTCCAGGCGGCGCAACCTCAATATGACGTTTTTTTCCTACCTGAGTGTAACTGAGAAAAATCTTAAGATATGAGTATTTGTCATAAAAATCCCGTTAATTCAGGCATGTGGTACAACACAATTGTTCCGTAAAATTTGCAATTTTTACCCCATTCAGTAAGTTCTATGAAATTTCGTAAATTTTATATGGAGTGTCCAAACAATTATAGGCTTGAAAATGACGTCAAAAAGGAGGAGGGGTTTCTTTTTCCAACATTCTATAAAGTTTTGCTCCTGGAAAAACTGGTATAGTCCTAAGGAATGTTTCAGAAAAATAAAATGCACCCAGAGTACTTGTTTTAAATGTCCAAAAAGATTCAGAGAGTTGAAAGATGCACAGTTAATGTCGATTTGTAGTCAGGGTGTCAAAAGTTAGTCACGTCGAAAAGTGACGTTGGTCATTTGTAGTAGAAATTGAACTCCAACAAGCTTAGTATTCTGGTATAATCAAGTGGGGATCTTTCCTATGTATAGATACATTTACAATATTATATGCATTGAAAGCAGCTGTTCATGACATTGTAAAGCCATATAAACAAGGTGGGGTTAAGTCCTTACTTAACTCCAGGTAATCCCATCAAGATAAGTGTATGAGGTAGAGAGAGCGGACATTGAGAAACAATGACGTTTGTCAGACGTCATCAAACTAAACGGCGACAGCGCCGGGTGTTCATATAATGTCTTCTTTTTTTTTTTTTAGAATAGTTTGGCAAATTATCAACGTATCAAACCAAAATTTTCAACATTTCTTAAACTTTTGTTGTTTTATGTGCCTTCTAAATTTTGTAAGCACAGACTACATAGTATTAATTTTATCGCATCAGTCCACGAACTTTTTGATAACCCCTCGTATTAATCTCTTCAGTTGTATTATTACCTGCATCATTTAAGTTAATGAAATTGAATTGTCGCTCTCTTTAAAAGAATTGATGCGTACGTTAATTCCTGTATTAAAATCATTGTAAAATAAAGATATCTTCAATTGAACTAAAAGATTACAAATCATTTATACCAAGGTCTTAATTAATTTTTGCAAACGATAATTCCACCACTTTGTTGAACTCAACAGTTGAATTGATACCAGCAATAACTGAATTGATGCACACGTCAAATCAAATTGAAGAGAGCAAATTTTATTGAATTGATGCATTTGGATGTTTATTTTGGATTAGAAACATTGTTCAAACTTTCCTGTTTGTTAATACTTCGGATCAAGCTTGATGCTTCATTTTACTCATACATCATCCAAATATTTTTCGAATGAAATAGATTGAGTAATTTTTCCCCAGTATGCCATTTATAAGAGGAAGATTGGGCCATAAAGAAAGTGATGCATTGCGTGTTTCTATAGAGATGTCAGCAATTTGTAAAGATTTTGCCGAAGTACACAATTGTACTGACGGCCCTGCACAGACTGAAATAATCCATCTTGATTGGATATGGCATTCTTAATTGATTTGAAATTACAATTTGTTGTTGCTAAGCTCACAAAGATTTTGTGCATTTAAACATGCATTTAAATGCATGGAAATGACTAAATCATTATCCGTTTATCTCTACGTTAGGAACGGCATGCTGATTTAGCCATTGATCTGTCCAAATTGTTATATAATATGCAAAAGTTCTGCTAACTAGTCGAAAATTTTGCAAAGTATTAAGATGCACACGACAAAAATATTGTTTTAGTAACATAATAGGCGAAACGCTCCAGATTTTGTGTGTTGCAAATTTCAGATACTGTTCAAAATAAACTGTATTTATTTTACATTGTAGATACAGTTGCGCCAACATGATATTCTCTTAAAGAGACAATTTTGTGACATTCAAGACACAATACGTTCACTGCGTAAGACACGAGTTCCACGTCACGAGATTATGTCCTCTACCTCAAGCCTTCATTCTACTGCTAGCAGCGTGGACATTACGATGGAAAATTACGGTGTAAGGACGGCTACTAGCGCCACTTTACTTCAGGAGAGTGAGGACTCTGTGGACGAAGCATTTGCTTTCAGTCGACCACGTACGTCGTCCATGAAAACTATACGTGATCTCGCCGCGCTTGCGCGTAGAAGAGGAAGTAAGGAGATGATTTGATGTCAAATGACGTTTTTTAGAGACCCAAAGATGGTGTACGTGTGATTATAATAATGTGATTCTGAGAACAAACATTTAATCATTTCTAGTGATCAGATGGTTAATGTGAATCGTGAAATGTACGTCATGTATACATGTAGGATAGATCTCAACTATTTTGGCGTATTGAAAATTTAGCGCAATTGGTTGACACTGTTATGAAACAGTTACATACATATTTATGTATTTTATATTGATCTACTTTTCTTCGGTGACTATAAATGAATGCTCAAACTTATCAATCAAAGAAGGACACTTGCTTTATTAATACACTGACTTACAATTTAGTGTCCTTATGCTTGCTATAAAATATACTAGTACCTTGCTCTGCGTCTCTGTAAATCTATAAATTACTAAATACATTTTTAGGTCACCTGAGTTTACAGGTGACCTATTGCTATCTGTTTTCGTCCTTCGGCGTGCGTCGTCTGTCGTGCGTTGACATTTGAACATTTTCAGCTTCTTCTCTGGAACCACTGAACCAATTTCAACCAAATTTGGCATATAGCATCTATGTGTGAAGGGGAGTAAAAATTATGAAATTCATGACTCCTACCCCCCTGGGGCCTGAGGGATGGGGCTAAGACTATAAAAATTAATGCAATCTTTAAAAATCTTCTTCTTTACTCCTGGACATCAAGCAGGCAAACTGTTGGCATTAATGTAATAAGCATTGAGCCCTCTACCTAAATTGTGAAATTCATGACCCCAGGGTCAGGGGTTCTGGTGCTAGGGCAGGGCTCTGTTGAATATATAGTGAAAATGCATTATTTCTTTAAAAAAACTTCTCTGATCCAGGGCAAAGAAACTGAATGCATAGTTATGGTGAGTAAAGTTGGCTCTTCCTATATTGTGAATTTCATGGCCCCTGGATCAGGGGTTCTGGTTTTAGGGCGGGGCTTTAATGATTACAGTAAAAATGCAATAATTCTTTGACAATCTTCTCCTTTTCTCCTAGGTATTAAGCCGATGAACTAAGAGTATAGCTATGATATGTAAGGTGCCTCTTCCAAAATTGTGAAATTCATGGCCCCAGGGTCAGGGTTTCTGGTGTTAGGGCGGGCGCTGTGGAATATATGGTGAAAATGCACTATTTCTTTAAAAATCCGATGAACTAAGAGTATAGTTATGATATATAAGGATGCCTCTTCCAAAATTGTGAATTTTATGGCCCCTGGGTCAGGGTTCTGGTGTTAGGACAGGGCTCTAATGATTACATAGTGAAAATGCATTAATTCTTTGATAATCCTCTGCTCTCTTTCTGGGTATTAAGTAAGCTTACTAAATGTAAAGTTATGATGAGCAAGTGTGTCTCTTTCGAAATTGTGAATTTCATGGCCTCTGGTTTAAAACTTGAACCCAATTTAATTGTGGCAAAATTGTTGCATGATACTCAGGTGACCTATAAGGTCCGTGGGCCTCTTGTTTAAAATTTGTTCAGTAGTGATGTATCTTCTCACTAAATTATACATTAAAAAAGACATATATCTGTGCATACTCCCAATCATTTCCATTTTTCATATATAGAGTCTATATTTGTAGTCTCCTCTCAACTTTTTTTTTCGTGCCCCGATTTCGTTGAAAACGGGGAAAATTAATTTGGGTTTTTCCATCCGCCCGACTGTCATTCTGTCTCGGTGTTAGACTTAAGTTTCCGGATGAAATCTCAAAAGTCCTTTATCTTTTGTATTGAAATTTTATATCAACGTCGAATAACTGAAAGAAGAACAGTTATAATTTTGAGGTCAAAGGTTAATGTCTGAAACATACCACAAGCACTTGTTTCTATAATAATTTTTTTAACCCGTAGTATGATAATATATAATAACACAACCATATATGACATACTTGTCCTTATTTTATTTTATCTCTGAAAACAGAACTCAAAACTCTGCTCGCCGACTGGAAAATTCGATTCACACCATGAAAAGGTATGTACCGTACTAATCTCAGACAGAGAATGTTCAGATTTAATTAAAAATGAGTGGGTTTTAAAATTAAATTCCAAAGTTTAAATATTGCAATAAATAAATAAAATTTGTTAACGTTTTAATTTTCAAAAAACATTACGATGTTTTTCTGACGTAATTTTAGAAAAAGATTTTTAGCCAATCAAAATCCAAGAACATATTTCGCCAGAGATTAGTGCAAACCAGTTCGTGATGCGAAACGAATTTTCCCGTCTGCTAGCATCGTTTTGAAGCTGTTTATGGAGATAAAAGAAAATAAAGACAAGCATGCCATATATGGTTGTATAGATAAATTACCTAACCATAGAAGAAAATGGTAATTAACACTTTGCCAGTACATTGTCTCTGACAGTGTAAAAGACTGCGATTCTGGGAAGGGGGGTACTCCATGTAATTCGGAGTTAGATACCTTATGTTATTATTATACTATGGATTAAAAAAATTATTACAGAAACAAACTAATGTACCTATGACTTATACTCAGTTTATTGCTTTTAAGATGATTCCCAGATGATAACTTAAGTTCTTTCTTAGCTTTTGCAATGAAAGGAGATGGGCGAACAAGGCGAGCGAAGTGCCTGTAGTGCTACAAACATGAAGGTGAAAATTAAATCTCAACAAAACTTTCTCTGATATTTCATCTGACATTAAGGTTCATCGATACTCTGATAAGAGAGATAACTCTTATTGAGATAAATGTCTATTATTCCTTTATAAATTTGTCAAGTTGCAATGTCTTTTTTGTTTAATTTTGCCCCGCAAGCTATGATACCATTGTTTGTATTTTACTTATTTTACTTATAAAATATAATTCTTTTGGAAAATCATATGAGTTAAAATAACATTTTATATGAGTGAGCAGAGTGTTTATGTACCTTAAACTATACTCTATGTAAAATCTATACAATTCGCAAAAATCTCACAGAAATGAGTGAAATTATTTGCCTATGAAATAGCATACACACACTAAAGAGGGTAAAAAGGATCATTTTCTCATACTATTACACAACTTGTTTGATATGAGTCTTCGCTCCATTTTTTGAAAGTTTATGTAAAAAAAATCCAGGTCAATCCTCTAATCGTTTCTTTCTTCAATTCCGTTCTTTATTCTCTCATGCAGAATCAGATCAGAATTTGGTACAAGAGGTACATACAAATGTATATATACAAACACAAATAACAGTCAAGGGTCAAAATTAGACAAGTATATAAAGAAAAATTAGGAAAGACTGAAATAAACATATAATCGGTTATACATCTACATTTTTTTTACAGCCAGTCTCCCGTCCTGTTACTTTGTACTTTTAAACGGGGACATTTATCTTTCTTTTTCTGTAATTTTGTGTGGCTTGAGGGGGAATGGAGGTGTCTTTTTTTAAAGTCTTAATATTCTATTCAATTGTTAACAATTACGATTAACTGAGTTACTGAGAAGTTTATTATCTTTCCCCCCTATGCCTTCAAAAAGCGTTAACTTAAAGATGATCTGAAGTACACTTTCGCAATATATCCTATCATCATATCTCATTTCCCCTCCTAACCCCTTAAAATCATAGACTTAAAGCTTTAGGTCTATGTTAAAATATATCCTCTTCATGCTAAATTTCCAAAACACCTGGAAAGATATAGTTTCTGTTATGATACATATTACTATACTGTAGGTCTGTCGTCAATTCTGACGGGTTAGTGGGTATGTGAAGATACATACATATATCCCTAACGAATATTAAGAGAAAAAAAAAAAAACATTTTTGTAACTTTATTAAAGACTTCTTTCGTAATGTAGACACCAGTTCCCCTTCTTCCGCCTCATCTCCTTAATTTCTTCATAAAGTCTTCTAGACTAGTCCAACAATCTTCTTTTTTTTTTTAGAGGAAAGGGTGGGTGCGTTTTATGTTTTGTTAGAGTATTACAACCATGCTTTGTATATGTACATACTTTTAATGGATTTAAGGACACATCTCGGTCATGCCTACTCATCTCAAAGACGGAAGAAAATATGTTAAAATGTTTTCACCAGGACGTGTTTAAAGTAGCTAATATCATAGAAATAATTCGATATATTGGACTGTAACCAAATTGAATAAAATTGATTCAAAATCCCACTTGTTGTGCTAATAAAATATTTCATAAAAGGACCTTTCATTCAATAATAACTAAATACACGTCACGCGAAACCGGATGTGTACACTGCGCCATGAGCCAAACAATGCGATTGGTTGACGAGGACAAGCCCCCAGTACACGAGGTTTATTAAGGAAACATAACCAAATAAAGAATACCCAGGTAAGTCTTATCATTTGATATCTTCCCGAAAGTTTCTATTGCGGTTTATTTTAAAGAAGAGAAGCGATTCCGTACAGGATTAAAATATAGTACCAGTCATGACACAATGGATAGAACAACGCGACATATTGCACGGTGTTTAAAGAACAGTAATTCATTGAAATGAAAGGTCATAAGGTCGTGTCATATGTAGTACTATTAAGAATCTAGTTGGTTTTTTTTTTTTTAGGTATGTAGAATTTTTATTTCTTTGCCGTCTTGGGAATGTCGTTATTGAATCAGAATATCCGTGTGTACATTGTCGATAATACAGAATTACGAAAGGAACATGTCTAGACCATGACAAGGAACGTCATGAATTGCCAAAGAAAATCAATCACTTTACTGCTCTTACGGATATACATTTTAGCACAAGTATAAACACAGATTAATTATTGATATTTCGACAATTCTGAACATTAAGAAATTAAACAAAGGTCAATTAGTATCAATAAACGCCAAAATCTAAAAAAGAAAAAAAAATATGTGAACCTTCTTAGTTTATTGCGTAATTTTAGTCAATATGTCTTGGTTATTTCACCAATTTCTACTATACACGTGTGTGTGTCACATGAAGAAAAAACTCTGTTCCACTTAACCTTGAGCTCAACCAACCATGAATGTATTTTAATAGATTATTCATTAATACTTACTGATCCTTGAAAATCGTTAAAAATAACAAGTGTGTCTTTTCCATGGGCGGATCTTGAGGGGTTGGGAGTTGAGTTCGGACCCCCTGGAATTTTCAGTCATTAAATTTCTATGTAAAAGCAGCGAAAAAATGACATTGGAACCCCCCCTTTTTTAAAAACAGTAAGGAGAGAACTCTACCAGAAGAAAATTGACTAAGGAAGTCTCCTAACCACCACCCCACCCCACCCCCGAAATCGGATTTTCATATTTGGGTAAGAAGTTAAAAATTTCCGAGTTTGACATTTGTTATAGTTGATGCAGAAACCCCCCCCCCCCTTTTCGGAAAAAACTGGATCCGCCCTGTTTTCTTACATTTATGAATCCTCATTTCATTTCTGTGTTTGAAGTATTCAGAAAGTATAGAACAGAACAGAACAGAACATTTATTTTCTAATTTAGAGCCCATAGCAGACAAGTATGAAATTATTACAATAATAAAGAAAAGATACGCCAATGGATAGTATAACAACTTGTAAACGACATTGCTCATTTCAACAATAATATTGTACTATTTCAGTTAAAGGGAATACTATATATAAAACTGTATGACTACTACAACATGTTATCATTTATGAATTTGCCCACAGAATTAAGAGTTTCTTTGTCTTCAGTATTGAGTAACCAAAAAAGTTTTTGTTCATCATCTAATGCCGAGAAATTTGGAAATTTACTTTTAATTGATTGAAAAATTTCTTTTCTTTGATGATCATATTTTTTACATGTTATATGTATTCTGAACTATTTTCTAAGTTATTTATATCTAAACCAGGAATTACAGTAATATATTTATACTTTTTTCCCCATGCCGTAACAAGCATATTTTCTTGTAGAAAACTGTTGGAAAATTTAGAAGGGCGCAATCTGCTTAAAAATGACAATCTCATACTTGAGACAAATTAACAATTTTTCGTCTCATGTGCAAACGTATTCAGGAAAAATAAAACTGGAAAAGACACTGACAAAAATAGGTGTCAACATTTATACGTGTCAATAAATATACTGCACTAAAAGGAAGAGCGCGATTTATACAAATTGTCAAATCATAAAACCGCAATAAGTGTATTTTAAAAGAACAAATGTTTCTAAAAAAGCACGCCACATTTAGGTGCATTTTTTGCTTACGAATTTCTTTTTGTTATTTTACCTGAAGGGGTGTGGGAATGAGTGGACAGCCCGTCAGGAATTTGTTGCGTAGCTGTGTCCCGCGGGCAAGTTTTGTTCGCAAGTACAACGGTGTTAGTGGTGTAGCGCCAGGGGTCAAGGACAAAAATGAGCATCCTAACGTTCTCATTACAGGTAGTTAAACAAAAAGTAATCCTTGATCTACGATTTTTGGTTTGTTTTTTTTTTTTAAATTAAGAATGTTGTTATTTACGATATATAAAAAAATTTACTTGACATTATCAAAAACAAAGACAAAACAACAAACAAACAAACAAATGATTTAGATTTATTTTGTTAATGAAAAGCGGTACAATGAAGAAACACAGTTTGCCAATTTACTGTGTTATTAAGGCTAATATAGTGTCGTTCATAAATGATGCATGTGCTATATGCATCATTTATACTTTGTATATTTTATATACTATATGGTCCTCTTTTGATCCTTACTTTTTTTATGATTTTCTTCAGGAAGTCTTGGGCAGTTGGGGACTGGACTCGCCAAAGTAATGAGGTCATTATATTTTCTACAATATACATGCTTTGCTTTTAACAAAGATTATGTTAAGATTCAGGGCCTTAACTATAGAAGGAATTGTAAATTTTACTTAATTCTTCTTGGCTTGCTACTAGTATTTCAAGTAATATTTCGATACAATTGAAAATGCGACGATGTATTTAAAAAGTTCTCTCTTTTTTTACAGACAGCGTTATGGTCGGAACAATGTAATAATGTCCGACATCCTAAAACCATCTAAAGAAATTTTGGAAAGTGGTGAGTGTTTTATTTTGATGTTTTACTGGCTACATATATATGGAATTTGTACTATTATGCTAGTATTGCATTATAATATTGCATCCTTTGCAAAAGAATATTTTAATCAGCAAGGAATCTTTTAAAAGAAAGACACACATCACGTTTCCGAATTTTAGTTCTTTGTCAAGACCACCACGAGATTCATCTCTTGCTAACGTACTACACTAATTTGAATTTTGACATGATTGTATTAGCGAATTCGAATATTCGGCAAAATTAAAACTAAAAAAATTTGGAAGGAATTATTAATGAATTTCATGTCTGACAAATCATGCAGTGTAAATAAAACACTGGAGTCAGATGTGAAATCAAGTCAGACTATGTAAATATAGGCCTTCAGTCGCCTCATAAAATTTATACTAAGTGTTTTAAATGAAAGCACTACATTTTCTTTGACCGCACCATTTGGGATTTGTCTATAGTTAGATTTTTCTTGACCAGGTCCGTATGTTTTTGCCGATATTTTGGACTTTAAGAAGCTACAGGAACTGATCGTGAACTATAACATTGATTGGATCATCCACTTCAGTGCTCTGCTTAGTGCCATAGGGGAAAACAATGTCCCACTGGCAATGCGTGTCAACATCGAGGGTCTCCATAACGTGCTCGAGTTAGCCAAACAGTACAGACTTAAAATATTTGTACCAAGTACTATCGGTAGGTAGATCGTGTGTCCACTTCTTAGCTATTTCCTACAGACTAGTCACGCATATGTACTAATTATCAACACGTGCTTCATAATATATCTCTATCACTTTTAGGAGCATTTGGTCCAGACTCGCCACGTGATCCCACACCTGACCTTTGCATACAACGTCCTAGAACAATTTACGGAGTCTCCAAAGTTCATGCTGAACTGATGGGCGAGGTTTCTATTTCTTAACGATATGACAGAATTTCAAAAGTTTTTTTTAAACTTCGTTAATATTTTTTTTTAATGTCCATATTTTCAGTACTATTATCACAAGTTTGGTATGGACTTCCGGAGTTTACGATTTCCGGGCATCATATCAGCCGATACAAATCCGGGAGGTGGCACCACGGGTACGTTTGAAACTAAAGTATCCTGTTTCCCTTTTAATAGCATAATAATTGATATCATGGCGAAACAAATGAAAATTTTTCATTCTTTCAGATTACGCTGTAAAGATCTTCCATGACGCCCTAAAGACCGGCCATTTTAAGTGCTATCTACGCGAGGACACTAGACTTCCGATGATGTTCATTGACGACTGTCTGCGGTCAGTCGTGGAATTCATGGAAACTCCTGACTCAAAGCTAAAAATGAGGACTTATAATGTAACTGCAATGAGTTTTACACCAGGCGAGATTGTGGAGGAAGTCCGAAAACACGTGCCGGAACTGAAAGTGACGTATGAAATTGACGGCCGACAAGATATAGGTAACCAGTTAGTCACTTGTTTCACTCGAAGATAGATCCATTTTAGAAACCAAGAATTTCTGACATTGCTAATTGACTATTTCTTTCAAATTAAAATATGGATACAATTATAGATCTAGTATATATAATTCCTCATTTACTTTACAGCTGACACCTGGCCTAAACGTTTTGATGACAGTAACGCGCGCGCTGACTGGGGATGGAAGCATACGCTAGATCTTCCTGGAATGTGCAAGGCCATGTTTGATTTCCTGGCTCCATCAGAAAAACCAGAACAAAGGATAAAAATGTAAACTTTAATGTTAATTGTCAAGGACTCTGGACTCGTGTCCTGCTAGAGAAACGAATCTCAAGAAACGCAATGGAATCTCAATTTTAACTTAACATGAAATCTCACTTTTTTGGAATTGTTTTATTTGTTTGATGTGAATTTTTGCGAGTTTTAATGTTTATATTTTGGGTCTTTTTTGTTACCTGCTTTTATACTGTTAATAAAGGTATAAGTTATTATAATAGTATTTTATTTGCATTTATAACTATTTATATTTATATAACTATTTCTCAGTTACATCAATATTTTTTTTTAGATAAACATGTAGTAAGTCTTTGTAATATTGTAGCATGCTTGTACCGTTTCAGAAATGTAAATACATGTAAATTTTTCATGCAGATATTGCACTATTGCAGTAAAGTTTTCGGCAATAATTTCCCATTATTAATGTATGTACATGGAAAATTTAGGAAACGGTAATCTTATCTTAACAAATATTTACATAGCATAAAAGAAAAGAAAGAAGGAAAGAAAAAAGAAACAAAAGATCAACAATATTTCCTTTTGGAAATTTGACGTCAAATACATGTATTTAATTTTTTCATAAGGCCATCTTTAGAAAAATGTTTGGTTGCCCTCTCCCGACCGATTGGCTAAAAATGGCCCGACTCAAAACTTTTTTTGCCTCCGGGAAGCAATTATTTTTTTATGCATTCCGGAAAATATATTTTGAAAATTCAGCATTGATGTTGAAATTTTCTAGGAAACAAAATTCCACACCTACCTACCGACCCAATTATCCCCCCCCCCCCCCGATATTTGAACTACAACAGAATTTTTTAGGAGATAACATATTGCAAATGCAAAGAGGAACAACACCAAAACTAAGGGTATGTCATCGTCGATGTATCTAAATTCGAAGCCCTTCACCGGTATATAGTGACGTCTCTATATGTGTGAACAATTCTTGAATAGGACGTAAAACAACATTTAATTAATTAATCAATCGATTCTCTCTTGGAGCTTGTGGACTCAAAACCGTGGTTTGCGACGATAAGGGTATTGTCCTTTTATTTGATAAAATAAAATATGTCAGAAAGGACAGTATGCTTGTTACCTGATTCCGTCCCTTGGCTTGGATATATTTGTTCAACAAGTTCGGAAGTATGTTTACTGTAAAGTAGATTTGCTTCAACTGAAAATTATGATAATGATGCACAAAGACTTAAGAAGTCTTACTTTTGAATACATACTGTCATTGCAAACCAGTCCGACTTACGACATGTTCCAGCTCGCATTTCCTCGTATTTTAAAACAAATTGTTTGATGCATTATTCAGGCACACTTTGATTTACTTATTTTTTCAAACTATGAAGAACTAGTTATAATTGTAACGGGGACCGTTACAGATGTTCCCCAAACGCTCCCCAACACCCTTTTGGTGTCTTATTTCCTGTAAGCTTCATTAAATAAGCCAATGAAGTATATTGATAGTTTTTTGCATTTCATGCGCGCGCACGTGCATGCATGTGCAGGATGACCATGTCATCTCATCTATACTATTAATGCATCTTTATATTCTCAGTATTAAAACATTTCATCAAAAAATAAATAAGTTCCGGCTATATCAAGTATATTGGTCATCTTAGCATTGCACGCATGCGCACCTGCATGCATGTTCATAATGACCATGCCATTTTGTCTACACTTATAATATGTCGGTTTATTCTTAGTATCAAAGCTTTTCATAAAAAAAATACAAAAGTTATGGCTACATTAAGTATATTGGTCATTTAACACATTGCACGCGCGCGCATGTGCATTCATGAGCATGATGTCCACATCATCTTGTCTACACTTTTAATATATCTGTATATTCTTAATATCAAAGCTTTTCATAAAAAAATATAAAAATTACGGCTATATTAAGTATATTGGTCATTTAACACATTGCACGCGCGCGCACGTGCATGCATGCATGCATGCATGTGCACGATGACCATGTCGTCTTGTCTGCACTTTTAATATATATAAAAATTTTGAGTATCAAAGCATCTCATCAAAAAGTATAAAAGTTACGAGTATATCAAGTATATTTGTCATTTTACGCTTTGCGCGTGCGCACACATGCATGCATGTGCATGTTGACCATGTCATCTTGTTTACACTTTTAATATATCCTTATATTCTGAGTATCAAAGCATTTCATCAAAAAATATAAAAGTTACAGCTATATCAAGTATATGGGTAATTTTATGCATTGCACGCGCACGCACGTGCATGCACGTGCGCTCAAAATAACCTTGATTCCGCAAATCTACATAACATGCCTATTAACCCTAAAAAGGTTTCACCTCAATCGGATGAGTAGTTGACGAGATCACTCGCGGACAAAAAAGTACCCAGGAAGAAGAAGAAGAAGAAGAAAAATAATAATAACTAGAAACTCATTGCGAGGAGCAATGAGAGGTCTTCCGTCTGATTTTGAAAATAAAAACGTAAATCCAAGCTGAAAAGGTGATAAAAGAAATTCAGACACTCTGGAGATTTAACCCTGGTCGTCAGCGTGAAATCCAACATGCTAACCATTAACCATTCACTTTTTTGCATCACTTCCTGTCACGACCGGAAGTAACGACGATACAAGATTTCCTCGCAATTCAAATAAAATGATGACTGACTATCAGTTCTGAAAGTTTTAGACTTCAGTCGTTTACTGTTGCCGAGCAATATCGTGAGAACAAATTCTAATTCTGAGGACAGGTAAACACGCGACCGGAAGTGAATTTTATAAAAAAAAAAAAATCTCTGACGTTTCTCTATACATTTGCAGTATCTACAAAATGCATAAAAACATTTCAAGTACTTTATCGTTAAGCAATATTTATGAGAAAGTTAAATATCGAAATAACGTAGTTTATCATCTAAAGCCGGAAGTTGACGTTTTTGTTTCCGGTGGAAACTAACATATTTCAATACAGCGAAAGAGATGCAATAAAGTGATGCTAACTTCAATTTAAAAAAAAAGTTAAAATTTTTGATTTCTTTGATCACTTCCTGTGACGACCGGAAGTTACGACTGACGCGTTTAACCAAAATGGTTTTGCCTACTCCTCAAGGTCTGCTGCTCATATAAGTCTGGTGTTTTAATCTTTTACCTGTTTTTGAGATCTCGCTCAGACAATATTCTCATTTTGAGGACAAAAAAAACACGCGACCGGAAGTGAATGTTTGAAAGATATTTGAGGTTATTCTAGACCTTTGCATTCTGAATAACATATTTAAAATTCATAACAAATACATTATGTATAAAGAATATTTATAGGAAAGTAAAATACGCAAATTTTGTAGTTTTTCTCTTATAACCGGAAGTTGTCGTTTTTGTTTCCGGTGGGACCAATATCTTTCGAATCTGCGAAAAAGATGCAATAAAGTGATGCAATTCTTAAATAAAGAAAGAAAAGTTGAAATTTTTGATTTCTTTGATCACTTCCCGTGACGACCGGAAGTGACGGCTGACGCTCTGAACCCAAGTAGTTTTGGCTACATCTTAAGGTCTGTTGCTCATATAAGTCTGGTGTCTTAATCTCTTACCGTTTCCGAGATCTTGCTCACACAACTTCTCATTTTGAGGACAGAAAAACACGCGACCGGAAGTGAATTTTTGAAAGATATTTGAGGTCACTCTAGATATTTGCTGTCTGAATAACATATTAAAAATTCATTTCAAATACTTTATCTACAAAAGATATTAATGGGAAAGAAAAATACTTCAATTATGTAGTTTTTCTCTTATAGCCGGAAGTTGACGTTTTTGTTTCCGGTGGGACCAACATATTTCGAAACTACACAAAAGATGCAATAATGTGATATAGGATTTAATTCAAAAAAGGAAAGTTGAAATTTTACGATTTCTTTGATCACTTCCGTACACGACCGGAAGTGCCGACGACGAACGAAAAGGCGATTCCACAAATTAAAATGTCACGTTCTATGCTCTCCAATAAGTCTCCAGTTCATGTCTTTAACCGTTCTTGAGAACATTCGCGGACAACATTCCATTTAAAAATCAGGAAATTGCCCGTAACTTGGAACCAGAATGGAATTTTCCAAATTTTCCTTGTGATGAACAAACTTCATACAATGACTAATTTTTCCTGAAAGTTTCACGTAAAACCACTGAATAGTTTTCGAGAAAACGCCTGCACAAAATTTGGTCAAAAAATAATAATAATAATAATAACTAGATGCGTTTCTTGTTGCTAGGGCAACAAGTGGTCTTCCGACCCAACTTTTCTCCAGATCGCTATGCTGCCTCACTTCATTTAACACTTTATTGAAGGTATTTTTTGTTTGCGTTTATGTAACACAGTCTTTCAACATAGATCATGATTATTTCTGTAGAATCTCTGTTAAAAAAGCTTTAAAAAATAAGCAAAAACTATCATACATGTCTTCACAGAGAAAAATATCATTTACAACTGAAAAAAGAGAGAAACAATCTCCCGCCCCAGCAGGATTCGAACCCGCAACAATACGAGAAAGTTTGGATCGGTCATATCTTTGCAATAAATGCATCAATCAAAATGATGAAAAGATACTTAGAACTCTTAGAAGACTCTCTATTAATCCTGTAAATCCCAGAGAAAAATATTGAAAAACAAAAAAGTTACAAATTTAACATTTGTTTGCGACCGGAAGTACGAACGACGAAAAATAATGGTCGATCAACATATCTACATTTGATGCTCTATCACCTCAGCAAGTTTCATATTCATATCTTATCATGTGTATCGGAAGACCTTAATAATAACTCGTAAACTAATTGTTCAGAGAACAATTAGAGGCCTTTCCACCTTTTTAAGAGTTTTCGTGTCATTTGAGCTGAAAAAAAAGAACAAGAGGCCCAAGGGCCTTAACGGTCACCTTAGTACAATACAACAATTTAGAGGATCCATACACTGATAAATGAAGCTTTGTTGCCCAAAAGCAAGAAAAATAGTATGATGAGCATCAACAAAATAATTGGTATAGAATCTATCTGTCCCCCATTTATCACTATTACTATGCAGACTATTAACGAAATGTCTATTTTTAACCCCATATTATGACTTCTCACATTGGTCTCTCTTGGCCTTTGAAGAACATTAAAAAAATAAGTTATTTTTGCCTCACTTTTATTCTTCTATTATTTCCAAGTCTACCTGA